ACTGAGACTTGTTTTGTGGCCTAGTGTGTGATGTATCCTGCAGAATGTTCTATGTGCACTTGAAAGAATGTGTATTCTGCTTTTTTGGATGGAATGTCCTACATATATCTATTTAGTCCATCTGGTCTAATGTATCATTTATGCTACTGTTTCCTGATTGATTGCTGTCTGGATGATCTGTCCATTTATGTAAGTGGGCTGTTAATGTCCCCTACAATTATCATGTTATTGTCAGTTTTTCCTCTATGTTTGTTATTATTTGCTTTCTGTATTTAGGTGCTCCTATGTTGGGTGCCTATATATTTACAGGTATTGTATATTCTTCTTGGGTTGATCCCTTGATCATTATGTAATGTACTTTGTCTCCTTTTACAGTCTTCGTTTTAAAGTCTGTTTTTGTCTGATTTAAGTATTGCTACCCCAGCTTTCATTTCCATTTGCATGGAAAACCTTTTTCCATTTCCTCACTTTCAGTCTGCCTGTGTCTTTGGATCTGAAGTGAGACTCTTAGGAGTGGCATATATATGGGTATTTTTGTATCCCTTCAGCCACTCTGTATTCTTAGATTGGAGCATTTAGTCCACTTAAATTTAAAGTAATTATTGATAGGTAAATTCTCATTGCCATTTTGTTAATTGTTTTGGGATTGTTTTTTTATTTCTTTTTTGTTCCTTCTTTTGTTCTCTTCTCTTGTGATTTGATGACTATCTTTAGTGTTATGTTTGGATTCCTTTCTCTTTTTGTGTGTGTGTATCTATTATAGGTTTTTGGTGTGTGATTACCATGAGGTTTGTATATAGCAAGCTAATATGTACACGTGATTATTTTAAGTTGCTGATTTCTTAAGTTTGAACACATTTTCACAACCCTGCATTTTTCCTCTCTCCATAACATTTAATGTTTTTGACATCATGATATATCTTTTTGTTTTGTGTATCCCTTAATTTACTTATTGTGGATATAGATCATTTTACTACTTTTATCTTTTAACCTTCCTGCTAGCTTTATAAGTGGTTGATCTACTACCTTTACTGTATATTTGCCTTTACCACTGAGGCTTTTACTTTTGTAATTTTCTTATTTCTCGTTGTGACCTTTTTTTTCCAGTTAAAGAAGTCCCTTTAACAATTCTTTTTTTTTTTTTTTTTTTTTTTGCGGTACGCGGGCCTCTCACTGTTATGGCCTCTCCCGTTGCGGAGCACAGGCTCCGGAAGCGCAGGCTCAGCAGCCATGGTTCACGGGCCCAGCCGCTCCGCGGCATGTGGGATCTTCCCAGAATGGGGCATGAACCCATGTCCCCTGCATCGGCAGGCGGACTCTCAACCACTGTGCCACCAGGGAAGCCCCCTTTAACAATTCTTGAAAAGCTGGTTTGGTGGTACTGAACTCTTTAAGCTTTTGCTTGTCTGTAAAACTTTTGCTCTCTCCTTCAAATCTGAATGATAGCCTTGCTGGGTAGAGTATTGGTTGTAGGTTTGTTTCCTTCCATCACTTTAAATGCATCATGCCACTCCCTTCTGGCCTGCAAAGTTTCTGCAGAAAAGTCAAATGATAGCCTTATGGGAATTCCTTTGTAAGTAACTTGTTTTTCCCTTGCTGCCTTTAAGATTCTCTTTTTAACTTTTTTTTTAAAATTTTGTTTATTTTTGGCTGCATTGGGTCTTCATTGCTGTGCACAGGCTTTCTCTAGTTGTGGTGAGTCGGGGCTACTCTTCATTGCAGTGCACAGACTTCTCATTGCAGTGGCTTCTCTTGTTGTGACGCACAGGCTCTAGGCACATGGGCCTCAGTAGTTGTGGCTTGCGGGCTCTAGAGCGCAGGCTCAGTAGTTGTGGCGAACAGGCTTAGTTGCTCAGCGGCATGTGGGATCTTCCCAGACCAGGGATTGAACCCATGTCCGCTGCATTGGCAGGCAGTTTCTTAACCACTGCGCCACCAGGGAAGTCCATCTGTCTTTAACTTTAATTTTTGCATTTTAATTACAATGTGTCTTGGTGTGGATCTCTTCGGGTTGATCTTGTTTAGAACTCTCTGTGCTTTCTGGACCTGGATGTCTGTTTCCTTTCTCCCAGGTTAAAGAATTTTGCAGCTATTATCCTTCAAATAAGTTCTCTGCCCCTTTCTCCTTCTTCTAGGGCCCCTATAATGTGAATATTAGTACTCTTGATATTGTCCCAGAAGTCTCTTAAACAGTCCTTATTTTTAATTTTTTTTGTTCAGTTTACGTGATTTCCACTACAGTCAGTTCACTGATCCATTCCTCTGTATCATCTAATCTACTGTGAATTCCTTCTAGTATATTTTTTATTTCAGTTATTGTATTCTTCACCTATGTTTGGTTTTTCTTTGTATTTTTTAACTTTTTGTTATGCTTCTCATTGTGTTCAATCTTCTCCTAAGTTTGTTGAGCATCTTTACAGTCATTGCCTTGGAAACTTTACCAGGTAGATTACTTATCTCCACTTTGCTTCTTTCTTCTGGCCTTTTATTGTGTTCTATCATTTGGAACATGTTTCTCTGTCACCTCATTTTGCCTTATTCTCTGTTTTCACTTCTGTTCATTAGGTGGAATGCTTACGTTTCCCAAACTTGAACAAGTGGCCTTATATAAGAGATGCCCTATGGGGCCCAGCAGACCACTCCCCTCTGGTCACCAGAGCTATTTGTTCTGTGGGTGCCCCCTCTATGGGCTGCATGGACCCTTCTGTTGTGGTGGGCTGACTACTGTGGGTGCAGTGGTACACAGGACGGTCCTCAGCACAGTTGGCTGCCAGACTCAGCCTCAGTTAGGTCTGCCCGGATGCTGGTGGGCAATGCCGGGTCCTGGCACAGCTGGCTGCAGGACCCAGGAGGTCCTGGGGCTGGGTCTGGCCCACTGGTGGGTGGGATTGGGTCGTGGGCACACTGGTAGACAAGGCTGGGTCTCCACATGGCTGGCAGCTGGCCTGGGGGCCCTGGAATTGTTACAGACTGGCTGGTGGACAGGTAAGCCCCCTGTGCTAATAAGCTAGAGGAGGACTCCAAAATGGTGCTTGCCCACACTAATGTCCTTGTGGTAGAACAAGCTCCCCACGATGGCTGCCAGCAGCATTTGTGTCCCCAGGATGAGACCCAGTTACCTCCTGCCTCTCTGGGAGGTTCTCCGAGATCAGCAGGTGGGTTTGACCCAGGCTCCCTTCAAATTAGTGCTTCTGCCCTGGGTCCCAGAGCATGTGAGATTTTGTGTGTGCCATTTAAGAGTGGAGTCTATATTTCCCACAGCCTTCTGGGTCACCTGAATATAAGCCCTACTAGCCTTCAAAGCCAAACATTCTGGGGGCTTGTCTTCCCAATGCAGGACCCCCATGCAGGGGAGCTCAGTAGGGGGCTCAGACCCCACACTCCTTGTGAAGAACTTTTGCAGTTATAATTATCCTCCTATTTGTGGGTCACTGACCTGGGATGGGAGCATGGGTCTCGACTATACCATGTCTCCACCCCTCTTAACCATCTCATTGTGGTTCCTTCTTTGTATCTTTAGCTTCAGAAAATCTGTTCTGCTAGTCTGCAGAGCATTCTCACTGATAGTTGCTCTGTAAACAGTTGTAATTTTGGTGTGCCCGTAGGAGGAGGTGAGTGCAGGTCTTCCCAATCTGCCATCTTGGACGGTCTCCTGTATCATCTAAATGTTAAGTTCCAGGGCCCTAACTTTTAGCAGCAGTCTTCTTTGTTCTTTAATGCTATTAGTGACTTCAGTTAAAACGTGATATTAGCTGATTGATAGGTTATGTTTTAGCCATTAATGCTAATTTTTAGTTCAGTGATTACCTCAATTAATCAGTCTTCTAGGTGTCAAGCTCCCTTACAGATGTTAGCAAAAAAAATGAACAAGGGGTAGGGGAATGGCCTCATCCAGGTCCTCTTCCCAGGACCATGTGCTGCTTTTGTGCATCACGATGCAGCTACAGGGCGGTAGTTCTGGTCCTTGGCAAAGTAGGGAGGTCTGCAAGGGCACTGTGTGTGCTCTTGCTTTTACTGTACATAGTTCTCTCCTCTTTCACTGGTAACATTCACCTGTTTCAGGTGTACAGAATTCTTCCAAAATAAGCAATCTGATGTTAGCAATTATTACTAAATAATAGATTTATATATTGGGAGTTATTTTCTTCAAGTATTTACATTTTAGACTACTCTTCTCTATGGAATGAAAATTATTTTTTTTTGTTAGAGGAATTTAACGCATTTCTAAGCAGAGAATTTGTGATATATTGCCTTATCATTCCCAGGAAAGTTTACCAAGTGTCTACTGTGTCCCTGTCCTCACTGGGTGGTAGGAATATGTAATAAACAAGACATGATCATCACTACCCAAGTAGTTGTGAATAGCTATTTAATTATAATTACGATAAACACTATGAAGCTGTACATAAAGTACTATAGAACATATAATAGGGAGAGGTAACCTGAGACTTCCTTACCTTCCTTGATTTTAATTCACCTCCTCTCTCCTTTCCATGCATAGTTTATGACTATTTGCATATTTGGAGTATTTTTCATTTTTGGCAGCTTTTTTAAATGTGATTTTTAAAATACAATTTAAGTTTTAAAAAAACTTAGAAGTTGAAGAATACTAAAAGGAACTCCTGTGTACTTTTTGCTTGGGTTCACCAGTTGGTGTCCTTTGATCTGGAACATTCCTCACCCTTTCTTTTTTTGACCGTGACATTATTGAAGAGAGCAGGCTAATTATTTGGTAGCTTGTCCCTCAGTTTAGGTTTGTCTGAGATTCCTCATTATGATTCAGGTAGTGCATTATTTGACAGGTTCCTTGTCTGTACATGTTTGAACTATAAAAACAAGTTTAGAGTTTGAGATTTACTTAGGTATGATTTGTGTTTTCTTAAACCAGGAAAAAAAATTGAGGTCATAACTGTCATGGGGTTATCTTTTCTTTACTCAAACTAGTTTAGAAAGCTCTTACCAACCTCAGTGATTCATATTTTTCATTTCTTGTTTTAAAGACAGATGCACATTATTCCATACTGTCACTTCTTCTATGTCTGTCTGATTCTCCTTCAAACAGCAATTATGTGGAAACACCAAGAGATAAAGAAGTGGGTATGTTACCAAATGCTTTTCATATATATAACAAATAAAAGAGAAATTGGTTTTATGACTTAATTACCAGACTTTGAGATTTTATAAAAAGTTGTAAAAAAAATCTGAAACTAAAATATTTCTGTTGTCTTAAGTGCAATTATAGTTGTAAATTTTCTTTTAAAATATGAGTTCTGACTTTGTAAGTTAAACTTTCAGTTATATAAAGAGAAAAATCACTTTTGAAGATAAAGAAATTAAATTTTTTAATGTATTAGAATGTCAACTTATTGAGTGTTTCAATATTTTTGAACTTTCATTTCCCAAGTGTATTTTATTATGAGTTTTGTTAGACTTTTTACTGTAATTTGGGGTTTTTTTCCCACATATTTTTTTTTTTAACATCTTTATTGGGGTATAATTGCTTCCCACATATTTTTGATCAAGCTGATGAAATTCTTCTGCTGTATTTTAGAAAAGAAAGACGATTTCGACTGGGGAAAATACTTGATGGAAGGTGAAGAAATTGACCTTGGCCCAAATGTAGACACACCAGTAAGTAGCAGTGGTTTTGCTACTGAAAATATAAATACATGCCAAGTTATTTAGATGATTTTTATGGGTCCTTCTGCCCTACAGCAACTTATCTAAAACAGGAACACTCTTCACTAAATTAGAGTGGTTTATTATGGAAGTTTTATTAAGATTTTGCACCCAAACATCGGTACTAGGAAGTTGATCAGAAAATATATGTATCCCTTAAGGAGCTGTAAATCTTGGGATTTTGCCACCAAAACTAATTCCATCCTATAATAGTAACTTTCAAGATATGTAGAAAAAGGTTTTATTTGATAAAGTTTTTGCTTTTCTTCTGAAATTTTCTTGATCTTTTAGTCTAAATAGCTCCAGTTGTTAGGTGCTCTAAGGGTAAGGTGTATTGCCTTCTTTTAATCAGAATTGGTCTGAAGAAAGTGAAGATGAAGATGATCAACAGCCTTTAAGCAGAGAGGACTCTGGGATTCAGGTGGACAGGACACCATTAGAAGAACAAGATCAAAACAAAAAGCTGGGACTTCAAGTCAGCTGGAAAGGTAGTGTGTGTTCTTAGATACTGGCATCATTTTCTGATAGAAGAATTCTCTAGAAGGAAAGGCAAGCTTTGAGAATCAGTTCCATGTGGTTTAAAATATTGGTAAGCTCTGCCGTCCTTAAAAACAAACCTTTTTAAACCATTAGTAGATCTTTCTTCTGTAGTGCCTAAGAAGTAGCTCTATAGAATTAATGTTGAAAGGGCATTTACAGTGCAATTTTGGTCTTTTTTTAATATAGTTCTGAGAACTTTGTTAGTCCTAAATGGTTGTTTCTTTTCTTTTCTTTTTCTTTTTTTTTTTTTTGAGAAGGATTGGCTTTGCTAAAGTTAGTGACTAAATAAAAGGAAAAGATCCATACAATTTAATTTTAAATTTGAATGTCTGCTTTATCAGTTTTTAGTAAAAAAAATATGAATTGGTAGAATCCAGAAAGAGCTGGAAACAACCTTAGAGATTAGAACATCTAATCCTACTTCTCATTTTGTAGATAAAAAACAGAGGCGTGGTTACAGTGTTTTTCCCACGGTCACAGCCGGGAAGCTAACCCCAGAAGCTGGGGTCTGTGACCTAGCCCTGTTCATTGTACCTGAACCTTGCCAGATGCACATAAAGTAGTTAAAGCTGATTTAGCATGCTAACGATTTTCTGCTTTCTTTTCTCTTCCCTTTCTTTTTCATTCTTGAATTGGACCTTTAGGGTAGAGTGTGGGTTAATCAGCTCGGAGCATGTGAGCAGCAGCAGCAGCCCGTGCAGGGCCTTTTGGTTTAGTTTATTTCTTCTCTTCTGCCCTTTCTGATTCTCACTCCCCTTTCCTTTTCTCTGCCAGCCCAGTGACAGGCTCCTGTTCTAATGTATTTGATATCTGTTCTCAAACATGTTGAGTTCTTGTAAAGTACATTGTTTTGGTTGGTTGTATTCCTTTTTTAAAATTACATACTGGTATTATGCTTCGTGTAAACTCTGTTCTGTTCTTCTTTTCATTTAACTCTGTTTTAATCTGTCCATGTCACTCTGTGCATATCTCTTCTGTTGCTCCTAATGGCTGAGTAGGATGCTGCAGTTTGCAGTACCTCATTTCTGTAATAGCTTCTCTTGTGGACAGGCCTGAACTGCCTTCAGCCATTCTCCCTAATGCCATGCCCAATTATGGACCTGGTCCACAATCTCATACCTACTTGATTAGGACCCCGCCTCTGATTTGGTCTGCTGTTTTCATTTGCATTTGTCTGACTACACAGGATAAGTACTTGGGATCAGTCTTGCCCCTTCTACGATGTATCCATTGATATCCTTTGCTTGCTTTTCTTTGGAGTTTCATGTCATTCTTGCCCATCCCTATACTTCAGAGTTCTTTGTATATCTAGATAGTAATTCCTAGGTTTTAGACATTGCAATTTTCTTCCTCTAGTTAGTCACCTGTATGTTCATGGTATCCTTCAAACAGAATCTGTGATTTTTAAAAATACCTTATTGTACTCAAATCTGAATTTTTCATGGTATGGTTAGAATTTGGGCCTTGATATTTTTCTCTAAAAGAACATTCCCCTGTATTTTCCTTCTGTTTGCTTTTTTAGAGCTTGTGTTTAGCTCTTTAGTGACCACCAGATCCTCTTTTATGTATGAAGTGAGGTTAAAAGGTCCAGCTTATTTTTCTCCCATGTCATGAGCAGATTTCCCAACAGTCCATTCTTTCCACATTGCTTTGTGGTTCTAACATTATTATGTATCTATACACTTACTTATTTCTGAACATTCAGTTCTCTTCCCTGAGTGTGAGTTGTGGAGGAACAGACTTTTCATTTATATGGCTTTGTACTGTGTTTCAACACATAGAAGGCAAGTTTCCCCCTCACCTCCTTTACTCTTTTTCAAAATAGGCTTAGCTATTTGTGGGCTTTTATTCTTCTAAAGACATTTTAAAAGTTCCTTTTTAAAAATCCAGCTGGAATTTTTATTGGGATTGCATTGAATTTATAGATTTAGCTTGGGGAGATCTGACATCTTTACTATGAAAATATCTGCATTTATTCTAATTTTTTAATGTCTTACCAGATTTTGGAAATTTTCTTTGTAAAGACCTTAAGTCTTTGTTAATTTCTATGTATGTTAATAGTTCTTATTGTGAATAGTGTCTTTTTTTGTTTTATTTATTGCTGGAGTAGGGGGACACTTGTTTTTTGTAAATTGTTCTTATATCCAGCATTCTTGCTGAACTCTCATACTGCTTATATATTGTTGATTCCATTAGGTTTTTTGCGTAGACAATCAGTATTGTTTGCAAATATTGACAGTTTTATCTCCTGCCAGTTCTTTTTTTTTAATAAATTTATTTATTTTATTTATTTATTTTTGGCTGTGTTGGGTCTTCATTGCTTTGTGGGCTTTCTCTAGTTGCGACAAGCGGGGGCTACTCTTTGTTGTGGTGCGCAGGCTTCTCATTGCAGTGGCTTCTCTTGTTGCAGAGCACGGGCTGTAGGCTTGTGGCCTTCAGTAGTTGTGGCGCGTGGGCTCAGTAGTTGTGGAGCACAGGCTCAGTAGTTGTGGTACACGGGCTTAGTTGCTCTGTGGCATGTAGGATCTTCCCACACCGGGGCTCAAACCCGTGTCCCCTGCATTGGCAGGCAGATTCTTAACTACTGTGCCACTAGGGAAGCCCCTCCTGCCAGTTCTTATACCTTATATCTTCTTAATGACATGTTAACCGTGTCTCTTTCCTGGCCAGCCCTCTAGTCTGCAGAGGAAGCAGTGGCAATGAGCATGGGTTTCCTGGAGTAGTTTTTAATCCCAAGAGGGTTGCCCCTGAAATTCCTTAATTAAGTGTGATAGTTTTTGGCATAGGTTCTGGATATGTGTCCTTTGTAAAATTAAGACTTTTATTCCTGTTTTTCTAGGAGTCTTTAATTATAAATAAGTATTGAACTTTATCAAGTGCTGTTCTTTATCTGTGAGATAATTCTATAATTCATCACTTTTACTCTAGTACTTTACTGATAGATTTTTTTGATAGTGAATCATCCTTGAATTCCTGAGCTAAACTTCCTTGATCATTCTGTTATTTTTTTACTATAGTATTGGATTGGGTTAGCCTTTTTTAATTGAGAATTTTTAATCTTTATTCTTCGATGAATTACTTTTTCTATCATGTCTTTATCTGGTTTGGGAAGCAGGGTTATATTGGCCTCATAAAATGTTAGACAGCTCTCCCTTTTTCTGTTTTCTACTACAATCTGTATAAGATAGCTAATCCTTCAAACCCTGCTACTAGTCCTGAGGCTTTGGGGGTACTTGGGAACATCTTAAGTTACCATTTCAATTTCTTTTATGATTATTGAATTATTCAAGTATACTGATTGTGTCTTTTTATTCATGGGTCATTTTAAAAATCGAGTAATTTTTTTTTTTTTTTTTTTTTACTTTCTAGCAGTGACAATTAAATTTTGTATGTCTCTCTGTGTGTGTGTGTGTGTGTGTGTGTGTGTGTGTGTGTATGGTTTTAAGTAAATGATTATATATATAAATGTTGTTGGGTAGCTGTTATTTTAAAGACCCTTTGTCAATTGAATATTTGAATGGAATCATAAGTCCAGATTTTGTAGCAAAGCTGATCAAGTATTTTGTTGTTAACTCTTATAACTTAAATGTAAATAAATTCCCTTCCACTAGATGAGTCAGATGCCCGAAGCTGGCTGGAACAACATGTGGTCCGTCAGTACTGGACAGTCAGGTCCTCGAGGTTTCCTCATAGTTTACATTTGCACTCCAATCTAGCTGCTGTCTGGTAAGAAGCTATTTTCCATTTCATGTGTTGATAGAGGAAACTTGGATGTTTTAATATTTGGTTTTGAATTGTGACTTAAATCAAATGCTTTCTTGAACTTTTTTTTAACAGTTTTCAAAATTGAAGTATTGAATTTAACAGTGTTGTGTTAGTTTCAGGTATACAGCAAAGTGATTGTTATACATACATACATTTATATATGTGTGTGTGTGTGTATATAATCCTTTTTCAGATTGTTTTCCATTATGAGTTATTACAAGATGTTTAATATAGTTGCTTATCCTATACAGTAGGTCCTTGTTGTTTACCTGTTTTATATGTAGTAGGGTGTATATGTTAATCCCAAACTCCTAATTTATCTCTCCCCCCGTCTGCTATCCCCTTTGGTAGCAGTTTCTATTCTATGCCTATGAGTGCAATTATGTCTTATAAATAAGTTCATTTCTATCATTTTTTTAGATTCCACATATAAGTGATATCATGTGATATTTGCCTTTCACTGTCTGACTTATTTCACTTAGTATGATAATCTCTAGGTCCATCCATGTTGCTGCAAATGGCAGTGTTTCATTCTTTTTGTGGCTGAGTAATATTCCATTGTGTGTATATGTGTGTGTGTGTGTACCACATCTTCTTTATCCATTCATCTGTCCATCTTTTGATGTACATGTAGGTTGATTCCATGTCTTATCTATTGTAAATAGTGCTGCTATGAACATTGGGGCTCTGTTTTTAGTTTTTTAAGGAACCTCTGCATTGTTCTCCATAGTGGCTGCACCAATTTACATTCCCACCAGCAGGGGAGGAGGGTTCCTTTTTCTCCAAATCCTCTCCAGCATTTATTATTTGTAGACTTTTTTTTTTTTTTTTGTAGGATGCGGGCCTCTCACTGTTGTGGCCTCTCCCGTTGCGGAGCACAGGCTCCGGACGCACAGGCTCAGCAGCCATGGCTCACGGGCCCAGCCGCTCCGCGGCATGTGGGATCTTCCGGGACCGGGGCACGAACCCATGTCCCCTACATTGGCAGGCGGACTCTCAACCACTGCGCCACCAGGGAAGCCCTATTTGTAGACTTTTTAATGATGGCTATTCTGACTGGTATGAGGTGATACCTCATTGTAGTTTTGATTTGCATTTCTCTAATAATTAGTGTACTGAGCATTTTTTCATGTGCCTGTTGGCCACTTGTATGTCTTTGGAGAAGTGTCTTTAGGTTTTCTACCCATTTTTTGATTGGGTTGTTTGTTTTTTTTCAAATTAAGCTGTATGAGCTGTTTATATATTTTGGAAATTAATCCCTTGTCATTTGCATCATTTGCAAATATTTTCTCCTTGTCAGTAGGTTGTCTTTTTGATTTGCTTATGGTTTCCTTTACTGTACAAAAACTTTTGAATTTAATTAGGTCCCATTTGTTTATGTTTCTCTTTATTTCCATTACTCTAGGAGACGGATCCAAAAAAATATTGCTGCGATTTATGTCAAAGAGTTTTCTGCCTATATTTACCTCTAGGAGTTTTATAGTGTCCAGTTTTATATTTAGGTCTTTAATCCATTTTGAGTTTATTTGTATATATGGTGTTAGAGTCTGTTCTAATTTCATTCTTTTACATGTAGCTGTCCAGTTTTCCCAGCACCAGTTATTGAAGCGACTGTTTTTCTCCATTGCATATTCTTGCCTCCTTTGTTGTAGATTAATTAACCATGAGTGTGTGGGTTTATTTCTGGGCTTTCTATCCTGTTCCATTGATCTATGTGTCTGTTTTTGTGCCAGTACCATACTGTATTAATTATTGTAATTTTGTAATATAGTCTGAAGTCAGGGAGCCTGATTCCTCCACCTTCATTTTTCTTTCTCAAGATTGTTTTGGCTATTCAAGGTCTTTTGTGTCTCCATACACATTTAAAATTTTCTTGTTCTGGTTCTGTGAAAAATGCCATTGGTAATTCGATAGGGATTGCATTCTGTAGATTGCCTTAGGTAGTATGGTCATTTTAACAGTATTGATTCTTCCAATCCAAGAATACGGTATATCTTTCCAGCTGTTTGTATCCTCTTCAGTTTCTTTCATCAGTGTCTTACAGTTTTTGGAGTACAGGTCTTTGCCTCCTTAGGTAGGTTTATTCCGAGGTATTTTATTCTTTTTGATGCAATGGTAAATGGGATTGTTTCTTTAATTTCTCTTTCTGATATTTCATTGTTAGTGTATAGAAATACAACAGATTTCTATATATTAATTTTGTATCCAGCAACTTTACTGAATTCATTGATAAGCTCTAGTTGTTTTCTGGTAGCGTCTTTAGGATTTTCTTATATATATTATCATGTCATCTGCAAACAGTGACAGTTTTACTTCTTTTCCAATTTGGATTCCTTTTATTTCTTTTTCTTCTCTGATGCTGTGGCTAGGACTTCCAAAATTATGTTGAATAAATGTGGCAAGAGTGGGCATCCTTGTCTTGTGTCTAATGTTAGAGGAAGTGCTTTTGCCTTTGAGTATGATGTTAGCTGGGCTTATCGTATATGGCCTTTATTATGTTGAGGTATGTTCCCTCCACACCCATTTTTTTTAGAGTTTTTATCATAAATGGATGTTGAATTTTGTCAAAAGCTTTTTCTGCATCTATTGAGATGGTCATGTAATTTTTATTCTTCAATTTATTAATGTGATGTATCACATTGATTTGCAAATGTTGAATCATCCTTGCATCCCTGGGATAAACCCCACTTGATCATGGTATATGATCCTTTTAATGTATTGTTCAAGTCAGTTTGCTAGTATTTTGCTGAGGACTTTTGCATCTGTGTTCATCAGTGATATTGGCCTGTAATTTTCTTTTTTTGTGATATCTTTGTCTGGTTTTGGTATCAGGGTGATGGTGGCCTCGTAGAATGAGGTCAGAAGTGTTCCTTCCTCTGCAATTTTTTGGAATAGTTTCAGAAGGATACGTGTTAACTCTTGTCTAAACGTTTGGTAGACTTCACCTGTGAAGCCGTCTGGTCCTGGACTTTTGTTCGTTGGAATTTTTTTTGATTACTGATCCAATTTAATTACTGGAAATTGATCTGTTCATATTTTCTATTTCTTCCTGATTCAGTCTTGGGAGATTGTACATTCCCAGGAATTTGTCCATTTCTTCTAGGTTGTTCATTTTATTAGGCGTACAGTTGCTCGTGGTAGTCTCTTGTGACCCTTTGTATTTCTGTGGTGTCAGTTGTAACTTCTTATTCATTTCTGATTTTATTGATTTGGGCCTTCTCTCTCTTTTTTTCTTTTTTTTTTTTGATGAGTCTGATAAGCAAATTACCAAATTTGTTTATCTTTTCAAGGAACCAGTTCTTAGTTTCATTGATCTTTTCTATTATGTTTTTGTCTCTATTTCATTTACTTCCACTGTGGAGCTTTATGATTTTTCCTTTTACTAATTTTGGGTTTTATTTGTTCTTCTTTGAGTTAGGTTTGTATCACTATAAACATCCCTCTTAGAACTGGTTTTGCTGTGTCCAGTAGATTTGGATCGTTGTTTCCACTTTCATTTGTCTCCAGGTATTTTTTTATTTCCTCTTTGATTTCATCAGTGAGCTGTTGCAGACTGTGGTTTTCTTGCTTCTGGTGTCTGCCCCCTGGTGGGTAAGACTGGTCCAGGGGCTTCTTCAGGCTTCCTGCAGGAGGTACTGGTGCCTGCCCACTGATGTGTGAAGCTGGGTCTTGTCCCTCTTGTGTGCAGGGTTGTATCTGCGGGCATGTGTAGGGGTGGCTGTGGGCTCAGGAAGTCTAGGCAGCCTGTCTGCTGAGGCGAGGGGCTGTGTCCCTGCCCAGTTTGTTTCACCTGTGGCATCCCCACACTGGAGCCTAGAGCCTACTGGGTGGGACCAGGTCTTGGTGCCAAGAGGTCAGCCTCCATGAGAGCTCACACAGGTGAATGCTCCCTGATATAGCCACCACCAGTGTCTTTGTCCCCAGGATGAGTCACCAGCCATCCCCCACCTCCCCAGGAAACCCTCCAAGACCAGCAGGTAGGTCTGGCCCGGGCTTCTATCATATTGCTGCCTTTGCCCTCAGTCTCGGTGCTCATGAGATTTTGTTTGTGCCCTTAAGAGTGGAGTCTCTATTTCCTTCCATCCTGTGGAGCTCCTGCAGTCAAGCCCCACTGGCCTTCAGAGCCAAATGCTCTGGGGGCTCCTCTTCCCGGTGCCAGACCCCCCAGACTAGGGCATGCCTCACGTGTGGGAGAACCTCTGTAATATAATTATTCTCCGGTTTGTGGGTCACCCACCTGGGGAGTATCAGATTTGATTATATCATGAGTCTGCCTCTCCTACCTGTCTTGTTGTGGTTCCTTCTTTAATATTTTCTGGTATGTTTCAGTGTTTTTTATCAGTTTTTCTTTCCACAGTTAGTTGTAATTTTTCTGTGCTCATGAGAGGATGTGAGCTTAGGGTCCTTCTACTCTGCCATCTTGGCCGCTCTCCTCAGTCACTTATTCTTCATAACACTTTGCACTTGCCACTTAACCTGTGATCAGTTCCTCATCGAACTAGCTCCGTTTGCCTGATGAGCAGCAAGCCAAATGCTGAAACTCCAAGGTTTGCAGCAGAAAGGGTTTATTCACAAGGCAGCCAAGTGAGAAGGGAAAACAAATCTCAAATCTGCTTTTCCTTGAAATTTTTAACAATTCCAATTAAGCAGGGTTTTTTTTGTTGTTTGTTTCTTTGTTTGCGCTACGCGGGCCTCTCACCGTTGTGGCCTCTCCCATTGCGGAGCACAGGCTCCGGACGCGCAGGCTCAGCGGCCGTGGCTCACGGGCCCAGCCGCTCCGCGGCATGTGGGATCTTCCTGGACCGGGGCATGAACCTGTGTCCCCTGCATCGGCAGGCGGACTCTCAACCACTGCGCCACCAGGGAAGCCCTAAGCAGTTTTGTTATTTAATTATTATTTTTAAAGTGAAATTATTTAACTATAATCTGTCTTTTGATTTGTTATTTTCAAAGTGAATGGATTGGTTTATATTAGGCCATTTATTTGATTTCTGTTTTAGTGTACTTACTGCAAAAATAGTTACTATTTTTCCAAAACAACAATACATAGTTTTAAATATTTGCCTAAGTCGACAGTAAACTTAAAATTGCTCTGAAAGTGCTTCTCTGAGAGTATTTCAGTTGACTTGTGAAAATGAATATGGGAGGAAATTTAAAGTATGTATTATGTTTATTTGCTTATCAATTACTGGTTTAATTACCACTAAATTACACATATTCTTTGAGACTTCTACTTTTACTTAATGAGAAATCTTTTCATTGACATTTGATGTTTGTTATCTAATAGGGACCAACACTTGTATACCAGTGACCCATTATATGTTCCAGATGACAGAGTTTTTGTTACTGAAACGCAGGTTATTCGGGAAACCCTGTGGTAAGACCTGTTAACCTAATTCATAGTCTAAAGACTTTATTAATGAGAAGCAGAATTTTGGTTTTCTGAAGAAAGGTGTTTGAGGGTTTTTCACATGCATATTCGAAATAGACCATTAGGTATGAACCCAAATCAGGTCCCTGTCGACACCTAAATTTGGATTGGGAGACTCAGTAAGCCCAAACTTTAGAGTCGACCATGGAGATTTTGGTATATTTACCTCTTTTCCATTTAAATACTGTCATATATGATTTAACCAAGATTAGACTATCACTTTTTAAATATCTGAATTCAAGTTAAGGTTTCTAATTTTCTGCTTACTGCTTTTTAGGCAGAGCACATCAGTGAGAGTTACCTGTGCCCTGTACCTAGGAACCAGGAATCTCAGAATTTAGACTGTGTTCATACAAAAATGAAGATGAAGAATGTAACATGTAGTGCTGTTACTACTGAGATTTCCAGTTTCTGGTTCTCTCTGCCATAAAATATAATACTGACATGCTTAAAAGTGGGAAGATCTGTTTGGACCATCATGTATGTGAGGAAATGTTTTGACAATACTGTTTTGTACTTTCTTAAAGATGATATTGAAATAATCAGTCTTAAAGTAATCAGATAAAAAGACTGATGTCTTGTTTTCTAATTATCTGACCTGTTTGTCCTCCCTTACCCTCCCCTTCTGAATCTTTTATTAAAATTTCTTAGGCATTACTGTAGTGTATATTTTTCTAAACTTAAAGTACATTCATCTTTTTATTTCAGGTTACTTTCAGGGGTAAAAAAGCTCTTTATATTTCAGCTGATAGATGGAAAGGTAACTGTGAGGAACAACATTATAGTAACTCATTTGACAATTGTAAGTTATTTGTATTTATTGTAATTAAAATTAAATAATAAGATTTATGTAAATCATGGTTATGTAACTTTAGAACATTTTGCAAAATTAAAATTAACTATTAAATATATTTAAGTTCCAAAAGGCAAAATTAAGTGTGTATTTTTATAGTGCTTAGAGAATTCTTTTATATTGTTTGTGGTGTTCATATTTAGTTCTGATTTGTATTTTCTGTCATTCTTTATTGGGAAAGCTGTCTACTGTAATTTTTTTGCCTACAGTACATTTACCTTATATTTATGTGTTTTTAAAAAGTGTAAGCCACAGTTCTATATTTTATAAAAATTAATGCTTACACTGTTTCCTCTGAATGTAAAACTAAATACTCGTTTTACTTTGTCTTTTACTAAGCATACTGTTTAAAAAAGTCACAAAAGAAATATTTTACAGTGAGGGGATATTAATTAGAATGCCTACAGAAGACTGACTTTAAATCATTCTGGTTTGCTTCTGTTGTAGAGCTGTTTACGATCAGTGCTAGAACAAATAGCAGCATATGGCCAGGTTGTGTTTCGACTCCAGGAGTTTATTGATGAAATCATGGGGCACAGCTCTGAAAGCATGTTACCTGGAAATGGTTCCGTTCCTAAGAAGTCGACAGAAGCACCTTTTAGAACATACCAGGCTTTCATGTGGGCCCTGTACAAATACTTCATTAGTTTCAAAGAGGAACTTACAGAAATTGAGAAGTGCATCATCAATAATGGTATTTAAATATTCTTCCCTTTTATGCATAACACATGTAACTCATATTTTGAATGCCATTTAGGTTAATAATTAATATAAGATTTTAAAATTACATGGCAAATAAGTAATTCTCCTGGATACACTCATTTTTTTAAATTATTTTAAATTTGTATTTTTAAGCCATTCATATCTCTAAAAATCCAAGCAGTATAGAAAGATTTACAGTGAAATTTTTTCCTGCTGCGTTAGTTCCCCAGCCCAGAGACAACCAACTGATCTATTTCTTGTACATCCTTCCAGAAATAATTTAGACATGTGCAAGCAACATGTATTCATATACACATGCCTAGTAGTCTTTTAACTGCTCTCTTCAAATTGCTTTCTAATTTAAATTTTGAGGAATATACCATACAAGTATTTAAAGAGCCTCCTCGTTCTTTTTTACATATTGAGCATCTTATTGTATGGATGTATCATAGACCAGTCCCCTTTTGATGGACATTTGGGCTGTACCTGATCTTTTCCTGTTGGCAACAGTGCTGCAGTGATAACCACTTACATATAAGTAATTGTACACATGTGCACCAAGTTAGCTATAGCACAAATTCTTAAGAGTGGAATTGCTAAGTCTAAGAGTATGTGATGGCATATGTGATTTTAGTAGATATTGCCACATCGTTCTCTACGGAGGTACAGATAAATAACTTTACACCCTTGCCAGCAATATATATGAGTACCCGTTTGTTCCCAGTCTTGCTAGCAGTGTGTTATCAAACTTTTGGGTCTTCATCAATATGACAGGTGAAAATGGTAACCCAGTGCATGCAGGTTTTCCCCCTTAACTTTTATTTACAACTAATGCAAAAAATAGTGCATTGAAGTCCCATGTTCCCATCACCCAGCATCCTCCAGTGTTGACACCTATAGGACGTTATCAAAACTAGGAAATTGACATTGGCATAGTACATTAACTAATCTGCAGGTCTGACATGGGTTTCACCAGTTTTGCAGGGCCTTGTTTTTTTGCAAGGAGGTAAGCAGTATCTTTCTGCCGTTCTTTTACATTTTATCACATGTGTAGATCTCTATGACCACCTCCATATTTAAGGTTCAGAGCTGTGCCATCCTGACGAAGGGACTTGATCTTGTTACCTTTAGTAGTCACCCTCTCCGCCTCCCCTCACTAAAACAGGAGCCCATTGTAGTCTGTTTTGTATTTGCCCAGAGTAGTTTTATTCTGCATTCATTTTTCATAAGTTTGGTTGAGTATCTTTCTGTATGTTTAAGAATTGCTTGAATTTCCTTTTCCATGAATTGTCACTTCCTTTATTCATTATTTTTCTGCTGAGTTGTCTTTTCCTTCTTTAGGGGGTTCTTTTTTGGGGGAAATCAGTTCCTTGTAACATGAGATTAAAACCTGCCATCCTGGGCTTCCCTGGTGGCACAGTGGTTGAGAGTCCGCCTGCCGATGCAGGGGACACAGGTTCGTGCCCCGGTCCGGGAAGATCCCACATGCCGCAGAGCGGCTGGGCCCGTGAGCCATGGCCACTGAGCCTGCGCATCCGGAGCCTGTCCTCCGCAACGGGGGAGGCCACAACAGTGAGGGGCCCACGTACTGAAAAAAAAAACAAAAAACCAATAAAAAACCTGCCACCCTCCAGTTTGCCATGCCTTTCCATAAGTAGGTTAGCATTTATATCACATTTTGAATGCAGATATTTTTCCTTGCTAATAAGTTTGATTTCTTGATATTTGCAGATACTACAATAACTCTTGCAATAGTGGTGGACAAGTTGTCACCTCGATTGGCTCAGCTCAAGGTTCTGCACAAAGTGTTTAGTACTGGAGTAGCAGAAGTTCCACCTGACACTCGAAATGTTGTTCGAGCATCTCACCTGCTCAACACCCTGTACAAAGCCATCCTTGAATATGACAATGTTGGAGAAGCCTCTGAGCAAACTGTATGTGGGGATCCTTGTCTAGTCCACCGTGTGTGACTAATTCTGCTCAGCCATAGGAGTGGTCAATAGCCTGTCATAGATATTTGTAAAAATAGTATGTCAGACAGTTGTTGTGAGTTTTCAAATTAGATTCTAAATTTGAGGCTGCAGGAAACTAGCTTTTCATCTATAATTGCCAAGCTCACCAGATGGATGAGGCAAGAATAAAACAAAACATAAAAGCAAGATGTGAAAAATACCTAGCTGATTTTTATAGATATTTGTAATAACTCTTTCTTAAATAAAAATACAGATCTATTATATGAGGTATCTAGAGTAGTCAAATTCATAGAAACAGAGAAGAGAATGGTGGTTACCAGGGACCGGGGGAGAGGAGAAAATGGGATAGGTAATGGGTACAGAGTTTCAGTTTTGTAGCCTGAAAAAGGTTTAGGAGGTCTGTTTTCATAACAATATGAATACATTTAACACTACCAAACTGTACACTTTAAAATGGTTAAGACAGTGTAGTTTATATTATGTATTTTTTTACCACAATTTTAAAAAATACAAATCTAGACTTTAATCTAGAAAGCCTCATGTTTCTTTGGGCACATAATCTAGGTGTTTTGCCTAGTTTGTTGGTGTGACTCTTTTTCCTCACCATTTTGATACTGCATTTCAATAAAAAGTTGATTTCTTTCAGCTCTGTAATTTCTTTTTATTAGGAACTATAGTAGAACAGAATCACTTCCTTGTTAATGGACATTTTGCTAATAGCACTATTTGGATAGGATAACCATATACCAGTTTGGACTGTCCAGTTTAGACCTGTTGTCCCTGGGTAACTTTCACTCCTAAGAGGGTCCTGCTATGGACAATATGGTCTTCTCATATTTAGGTGAGGTTTTTCATAAGGATTTTATAGCATATGGTTAGGATTTTTAATTTCTTACTTTGTTTCAAAAAACATAGAAATTGGATCACTTTTTAAAAGGTGCTTCAGAAACGCTCGAACCTCATTTAATCCAGAGACGAGGGAGTTCTGAGAATGGATGTGCGTGCTGCACTGTCTCCTCAGGTCTCCTTGCTGTTCTCGCTCTGGGTGGAGACCGTGCGGCCCTACCTGCAGACTGTAGATGAGTGGATCGTGCATGGGCACCTGTGCGACTGTGCCCGGGAGTTCATCATCCAGAGGTGAGGGAGGCACAGCAGGAGCTGGCTTTACCTCTCTTCTCCCATGTGGAGATCGTACAGTTCTGTTAGCTTCACCTGATCCATAGGCAGGTTCTTTTGCATTTTTATAGAAGACATCAGGTACCAGTGCAAAAATATTTTTCCAAGTTTTATGTCAATCACAGCTTTGCTTATTAGCAAATTATATTTTTGAGTGATAGTGTGTTTTGGGCTGCCTGGTATGGTGAAAGGCACACTGAGTCCCTTAAAATGAATTAGGTGATGTCAGATGGCTTCATTAAAGGGAACCAATGGGAATAAATTATCTATGAGACAAAAGGTGTGAAAATATTACAGAATATGCCTCTAATATATTTATTTCTCCTAATTGGCTGCTCTTTTTACCTTTTTAGTATAATATTTAATAAAACAATTAAGGAAAATCTTGATCATCATAAAATCTATGATGATTCCCCTTCACTTAATTGATTTTTCTGAACAGAATCATGGAAACTGCAATGTAGAACTATTTGCACTCTCTTAACTCAGTCTTAAGTTCTGCACTCTGTACAGATACATGTTTTTTGTTTTGTTTTGTTTTAATTTATTTACTTATTTTATTTTTGGCTGCGTTGCTGCATGAGAGCTTTCTCTAGTTGTGACGAGTGGGGCCTACTCTTCGTTGCAGTGCATGGGCTTCTCATTGCGGCGGCTTCTCTTGTTGCAGAGCACGGGCTCTAGGCATGCGAGCTTCAGTAGTTGTGGCTCGCGGGCTCTAGAGCACAGGCTCAGTAGTTGTGGTGCATGGGCTTAGTTGCTCCACAGCATGTGGGATCTTCCCAGACCAGGGCTCGAACCCTTGTACCCTGCATTGGCAGGCAGATTCTTAACCACTGCACCACCAGGGAAGTCCCTGGATACATGTTTTTATTGATAGCTATCCGTTTAACTCATCAGGGAGAGTAACTTAGAGCTACAGAAAGGTAACCCTGTTTACACAGTGCTCATATAAAAAAACTGGCCTTTCTTTAGCTGAATCTTGGGTCTCATTATGTCTTGTTTCTTCTGTTGCACATGAGGATTTTTGTAAAAACAGGATTCTGACTATCCTTAGGGGGTGACGAGTACACCTTGTTTCATTGTTAAAATAGTCCAGTGGAAATAGTTGTGGAAAAAAAGATGTGGAATTCTGGAGTTTACTTTCAGAGGAGATGGGTAAACTTTTATTCTACCTTTAAAGAGAACCAAATTAATCATATTTTGTTTAATTCCAATTCAGGAAACTTTCTGCATAGTTAGATTTTACCTATGCCATTCAGAGTATTTGTCCACTTTTCTGTGTTAAGCTGAAGTCAGGTAAAAACATCTGTCCCATTTTACCTAAAGATTGCATTGTTTTACTAATAATTGATATTACTGTGTTTTGGAATGTTTGGACAACATGCCTAAGCTAGAATAGATATACTGTTGTTTTTAAGGAAGAGAAGTTAAAGTTTAAAATTCTTTTGAATCCCTATAGAAACAAGAATGTTCCGGTAAATCACAGAGACTTTTGGTATGCAACTTACACGCTATACAGTGTATCGGAAAAGACAGAAAACGAAGAAAAAATGAGTGATAACGCTAGTGCGAGTTCTGGCAGTGATCAAGGGCCCTCCAGCAGGCAGCACACCATGGTGTCCTTCCTGAAACCCGTCCTTAAGCAGATCATAATGGCTGGCAAGTCAATGCAGCTGCTGAAGAACCTGCAATGCATGGAGAGCACCACGTGCCAAGCCACAGCCAGAGGTAACCCCTTAGTGGTGGAGCAGCTGCTCCAATCTTCACGCTTGCCATTCTGAGATATGACATTATTTTGCAGTTTGAAAATTATCAAAGCCTTTTATTTTCATGGAACTGATCACCATGATCAAATTGATAGATCATGCTGCTCTGACTGAAAAAAGATTGTCCTCGTTGGAAACTTTTATCACGGTGTTTGAAAGGCAGTGATAATACGTTCCACATGCATTTTACTTACTCTTGATGCCTTAGAACTGGTCCTTTAACAATAATTCTCTGGTATTTCTTAATGCAGAGCAGCATTTGGCACCTGAGGACATGAACTCTGGCAGATAGGAATTTGTTGGTGAGCGGTTCAGACTTGATCATAGGTTTTGAGAAAATCTTGATATAATTTCTGGTCTTTTTGGATGTAATTTAAGCAATATACTTAAGGTTTTATCAACTGTCTAAAAAGGCTTTGAGAGGTATAGATGTGACCTTAGTTGTTTTGTTTGTAAATCATCTTAATGTTACGTTAATTAGTTTAAATTATTATATCTACTTTAAGTAATATTTTCACTTTGTGGAATGTTTCCTTTTTAACTGAATAATAAAACGTAAAGAACTTTCCAGGGCCACTGTTCAAAGTGTTTTTCCCAATGTAATTATGACTCCTATTAGTGTTATCATAGTGCTATCTAGTATAATGGTAACTTTACTTTCAGGCTTCCTGCTTAAGCTGTTACTCTGTTCAGAAAAAAAACTAGCTTATACTTTGAATGTTTAACCATGAACTTTGCAATTGTCTAACAGAGGTTATAAAAATGTTTAGTTGTACTAAGGGTACTATACTGTAAGGGTAACAAAACAGGGATAGACCTTCATAGGCCAAAGGAAAAATACCAGGCTATAATATATTTAGATAAGTTTACTTAATATTTCTTAATGTTAGTTATTTACTAGAACATAATGCACCTTACACATTTCTTTATGTTTCAGATGCAGAAAGAAAAAGTCTATATACCCTGTTTCTGGAGTCTGTGCAGTCTCGTCTTCGACACGGAGAAGACTCCACTGCGCAGGCCCTCACTGAGCAGCAGGCCACCAGAGAGACCCTCATTAAGATGCAGTCCATTGCCGAGAGGCATCTTGAACTGGATGATGTTCATGATCCGCTGCTGGCGATTAATTTTGCAAGGTGATACGCACCTGCAGGATTTTCAATGATTGAAATGGCAGAATCTGTGCTGCAATATTTAGTAACTGTTTATCTCTGCCAGGTAGGGCTTTCCAGCCTTAAAAATAGAAACCTTTGTAGCCTCTCCTTTCTAATGAATGAAATACAAGAATATATTGCATTCACTTATTTCAGATACATAACTTAGCCTCTTTATTATTTGTGAAAGTCCACAGATTATCATGAGCCCTAGGCCCATTGGCAGCGCTGTCACTCATACAGAAGACGCTCATGGAAGTTAGGGGTCCTGGGACATGTTGAGTCAGACCCTCCCAATGTATCTTGGCCCTTAGGGGCTTTTAGATAATTGCCCCAATGAAATAAATTATTAATACCCACACAATACCCTGTTTATTGTCTAATGGCCGTCATTCACTACTTTCAACCCTAAGGGCTAGAAAGACCTACTCAGTACTTGATCTTTTAGGCAGAAGCAACTCTGTGAAGGTCTGCTTCACACAAAGAATACTTTGAGGAAAAAGATTTTTATTTCTGTAATAGTTGGTAATTTTACGACTAAAGGTAAATATGGGACTCCAGAGTTTTGATTTAAGAGAATTCTGTTGAGATGAATGAATAAAGAACATGTGGTGTATATGTATACAGTGGAATACTACTCAGTCATTAAAAAGAATGAAATTCTGCCATTTGCAGCAATATGGATGGACTTAGAGGGTATTATGCTTAGTGAAGTAAGTCAGATGGAGAAAAACAAATAATGTATGATATCACTTATATGGGAAATCTAAAAAATACAGGGCTTCCCTGGTGGGTCAGTGGTTAAGAATCCGCCTGCCAATGCAGGGGACACGGGTTTATTCCCTGGTCCAGGAAGATCCCACATGCTGCGGAGCAGCTAAGCCCATGAGCCACAACTACTGAGCACGTGTGCCACAGCTTCTGAAGCCCACGTGCCTAGAGCCCACACTCTGCAACAAGAGAAGCCACCGCAATGAGAAGCCTGTGCACCGCAATGAAGAGTAGCACCTGCTTGCCACAACTAGAGAAAGCCCACGCACAGCAACGAAGACCCAACGCAGCCAAAAAATAAATTTTAAAAATAAAAAATACAAGAAACTGGTGAATATGACAAAAAAGAAACAGACTGACAGATACAAAGAACAAAATATTGGTTTACCAGTAGGGAGAGGGAAGGGGGAGGGGCGAGATAGGGGTGAGGAATTAAGAGATAACAAATTACTATGTATAAAATAAATAAGCTACAAGGATATATTGTACAGCACAGGGAATATGCCAATATTTTATAATAACTATATAACCTTTAAAAATTGTGAATCACTATGTTGTACACCTGAAACTTATATAATATTGTAAATCAGCTGTACGTCCATTAAAAGACAAAAAAAGAATTGATGTCTTTTTTTAAAAAGAGAATTCTGTTGACAGCAACTCTTACAAAGAAGACTCATATTTTTATATTAAAGGTTGTATTTGGAACAGAGTGACTTTCACGAGAAGTTTGCTGGTGGAGACATATGTGTGGATAGATCATCAGAATCTGTGACTTGCCAGACTTTTGAATTAACGCTGAGATCTTGCCTCTATCCTCATATTGACAAACAGTATCTAGATTGCTGTGGAAACCTCATGCGAACTCTAAAAAAAGATTACAGGTATGAGGAGTGGTTTCATTTGGGAGGTAGTTGGTAGTTTATTGTACTTTAAGAATAGCTGAAGTTATTTTTAAACCTAGATTTCAAGCTAATTTTTATTAGAGTAGGGAATGGTTAGGCAATAAACAATTTTCTTTTGAGAAGATCAGTAGACCATCAGTGTTTTCCTAACTTTATTGTGAAATTTGTTTCTGAGAATTTATCCCAAATGAAATACAGAAAAAGCTTGTTACACAAAAATGCTTGTCACGAAGTTTGCTATCAGAGAAAAAACATGAAATTACTTACTAATGGATGACTAGTTCTTTAAATTGTGGCATATCCATAAATATGCACATCCATATTAAAATATGGCATATTCATTTACATGTATGAACTTCGTAAAGTTCATACAAATTATGTTTATACAGAGTTTTAAATAATGTAAAGTTTCTTAAATCTTAAAAAATAGGATATATATTATAGTAGGAACTATTTTTTTAGTGCATGGAAAAAAGACTGGGAAGAAATACCCTAAATATTAACAGTGGAAATTCATCATGAATAGATTTGGATTAACTTTTTTTATTATACTTTTGTGACTGCCAAATTTTCTTCAATGTTATAGAAAAATAACTTCTTTCTGATTATTAAAAGTAAACCATATGCTGTTTTTATTATTTTTGAAAATCTTTAAGATGTATTAGTATTTCTAATTTTAGTAAATGTACAGTGTAAACGCGTTTCACTAAAAATGATACCTGATCCTGATCTAGAATCCTATCTTATGAGCCTAAGATTTTTCTGTCACTTATTTTCTCTTCATTCAGGTTGGTTGAGTACTTACAGGCCATGAGGAATTTCTTCTTAATGGAAGGGGGGGATACCATGTATGACTTCTACACGTCAATTTTTGATAAAATAAGAGAAAAGGAAACCTGGCAGAATGTGTCTTTTCTTAATGTCCAGCTTCAAGAAGCAGTAGGACAGCGTTATCCTGAAGACAGTTCACGGTAAAATATGGGAGGACCTTTTATTTTAAAAATTATACGATAATCCATGTGTCACGAACTCTTCTCTTTTATATGTTATCTTATTTAATCCTCACACCAACCCCTATGAGTTTTACTAATGTTATTTTACACATTAGAAAACTGAGGCAGGGACTTCCCTGGTGATCCAGTGGGTAAGACTCCAGGCTCCCAGTTCAGGGAGCCCAGGTTCGATCCCTGGTCAGGGAACTAGATCCCACATACCGCAACTAATAGTTCATATGCCGTAACGAAAAAGATCCCTCATGCCACAGCAAAGATCCCACGTGCTACGACTAAGACCTGACACAGCCAAATAAATAAATATTTTGAGGAAAAAAAAAAGCTGAGACAGCAGCGACTTGCCCACTGAATGAGAGGAGATGTGAGATGGCACCGTGTGGTCTCTCAGGGTCTGATGGCCTTGCTCACATGGCTGGAGTCCATACTGGCCGCCTTCCTGATCCACCCTTGCCCTCCAGCCGGCTGCACCAGCCTTCATTGTGATGTCACAGGCGGTGTTCTGAGAGAGTGAGAGCAGAGCCCTTGGCACTGGCCAAGGCCTGAGCTGCAGGCCTCACCTCACAGACCCTTACTTCCACCACAGACCAAGTCAGAGGCCAGCCCAGTTAGAGGGGAAATAGATTCCACCACTTTTCACAGACAGCGTTGCCTGTTTTCAAGCTGTTGTACTGGTTTATCCCCGGCTCGGGAACTCACCTTCCCTTCTCCCTGTCAGTCGGCCTGCTGAGCACCTGGGCCAGGTCTGTGGGTTGATGCCATTAAATCTTTGTATAACAGAGGCTCATTTTCCACCCTGCTTGTTCGTCCTTTTTCCTGTTCCGTGTCCTTGCTTGGCTACCTTTCTTGGCTCCCTCAGTGGCCCTTGAAAAGTAATAATGATAATAATTAACATTTATTACATGCCACTTAGGACATTATTTTCCTCACAGCCATGCCAGGTTACTGACCGTCTACTACTTAGTAGTAGATAAAATAATTCCTTTTATTTATGTCATGTGTTACCTTTGATGATTCCATAGAAGTAGAATTTTCATCAATTATATGATTAGTAAAAGCAGGGTAACCGCTAGATTCTTTTCATAGTAAGGAATTAGTGCCTAGTAATCCCCAGGGGGGGCCAGGGAAGGCTAAAGTTATATTTTTTACTATCAATAGAAACTCATGAATTTTGTTATTTTTAGTATGTTTCAATCTATTACAGTTATTCTTTTTTTCTTGCTCAGACTGTCCCATCTTTACCCAGACGGAACTCCTTCACTTGACTCTAGTAATCTTGGAGAGCATCTTTGCTTTCAGGACTGGATGTCTGGACTCATCTTGTGCACTTCCTGCCCCAGGCTCTGCACCTCTTCCAGGATCACTGGTCCTGTCTGTTCTGTGGCTTTAAAAGCCCTTGGTCTGTGTCCCAGAGTGTTCGTCTATACTGGATTATCAGTACTTCTGGGCTCACTCAGTGGATGGAGCTAGGAAATATGTAGAAAGAGGAAGATGAATCATAAGCTCATATTGATATTTCCAGTATGTATTAAAGATTATAGGATTTCACTTTTTTGATTTTCTTTTGTATCTTCCCTTGAGTGCTTACTAACTCATGAACATAAATATTTATTATATTTATTCTATAATAAATCATAATAGTTCCAAAGTAACAATAACAGCAACAAGCCCACTGAGAGTTTAAAACATGCTTGTGACTATATTCTCTTCCTTTACTTTCAAGTCATCAGAATCCTGTATTTCAGGGTCACCTGGAACAATTCTCAATGTGATTATACCACAAATATAGGGCTGGGTTCATTTGTTTTATTTTCTACTTTTAGGAATCACTTCATTTTTATTTTTCTTGATTCCATTTTGTTTTTTAATTGTATAAAACAGCTATATATTTCTTAAGTTAAAATCATTGATACAAAATTACTTTTAGGGAGCTCTGGCTTCTGTTCCTATTCCTGTCCATTTTCTCCCTTTCCTCATAACCTTTTTTATTAGATTTTATTTTATCCTTCCAGTGTTTATTTTTTGGAACCAAAACCGTATGTGTACATATTCCTTTTTCTCCTCACATGTTACAGAAAAGGAAGCACACAGTGTGCACTCTGTAACACCTGCTTAACTTTTCTTTAGTAGATAATACATCCCAGACCCACTGCATTGCAGGCTAGAGAGCTTGTCCTCACTACTTTACAGCTGATTGTGTTCATTCAACCAGGTGTCCTGTTGGTGGACACGTGGATTCTGTTCTTCTGCGATGTATGTATGCAGTGACTGGTCTTGTGCATTTCACTTCTTATTTTTGCCAGTGTAACTTTGGAGTATTTTTCTAGAATGGGATTGCCAGGTAAAAGGGTAAACACCTGTGTAACTCTGCTAGCTGTTACCAAATTCCTCTTCATAAAGGCCGTATTTTTTCTAATTCCCACCAGCAATGAGGCTTTCTCCACAGCCTCACCAACAGAGTATGTTGTCAGACTTTCGGATTTCTGCCAGTCTGATGATGAAAAATGATGTCTCAGTGTAGTTTTAATTTACATTTTTCCATGTGAGCATAGTTATCTTTTCATACGCTTATTTTTGCATTTGTTTAAAAGTGAACTGTCCATATCTTTTGCCACTATTTCTGTCAGTATCAAGTTGTTGGTCTTCATCCTCTCCATTTTTAGAAGCTCTTTTTTTCTTTTGGCTGTGCCACGTGGCTTGTGGGATCTTAGTTCCCCAACCAGGGGTCAAACCCACGCCCCCTGCAGTGGAAGTGCGGAGTCCTGACCACTGGACTGCCAGGAAGTTCCCTAGAAGCTCTTTTTATAGGTTTCCCAGTTTGGCATTTGTCTTTTTGTTCTGCTTATGGTATAACAATTTCTTGTTTTGTCATGAAGATAGTTTTTAGTTTTATAATGTATCTTTTTTATTACTTCTGAATTTTAAGTGATAGTTAAGAAAGTTTTACTGTATCCAAGTGTATAAAGAAATTCACCCATGTTTTCTTTTAATGCTTGAATGGATTTTTTTACATTTAGGTGTTGATCCATTTGGAATTTATTCAGCTAAAAAACATGAGAAATAGATCCAGTTTTATCTTTTTTCCAAATGACTGGTTGGTTGCCATCACTTATTTCTTTAAAAAAAAAATCCACCTTTCCCCATTTATTTGATACCCCTTTATCATTAAATTTTCATATGCACTTGAGTTATATGCATTGGGTCTCTCTCTGAATTTTCCATCCTATTTCACTGTTCTGTTTATTCACATGCCAATAGCTTTCTGTTTTATTAATAGGGTTTTCCTGGCTATTCTTGCTTATTTATTTTAAAAAATGTACTTTATTTATCATCTTGTCTAGCTCCATCCACCAAAACAAAAACAAAAACATTCGTGGTATTTTTATTGAGATTCCCACTCATAGATTAACTCAGGACAAATGGGCCACCCCATTGGGACCCCTTCTCCTATGGCTTCCATGTGTTCTAGGTGCCTGTCTGTGCCCTCAGGCTCCCTGAGTCTGCACCCAGAGGTCTCCTTCCCGGTTCCAAGCTCCCCTGCCCTGCCCATACCCCTCCCTTGTCACTGGTGCTCCTTCTGCATCCTCCCTGTGAGCCCCTTGCCCTCCGCCCACCCTTAGCATAGCTTCTCACTCTCCTGCCTGGGGCACCTTCGTTCCATGTCGATGGCTTCAGCGACCGCTAGTGACCTGCAGGTCAGTACCTTTAGCCCAGGTGTCTGCACAACCAGTGCCTCATGACTTTCCTCAGATGCCATGTGTCCAAAACTGAGCTTCATCGTTTTCTCAGCCCTTTGTTTCTTCTGGATGGGACCACTGTTCATCCCAGTGCCCAGTGTAGCTCACCTTAGATTCTTTCCTCTCTGCCGGCCCCCACATACCCTGGTCCCTCAGTTCTGCCTCCTGGATGACATTCCCCATGCCCTTTAGCGCTCACTGGAGAGCACCTCCCTGCAGCCTGCTAACCAGCTGTCTCGGCATCTCTCCCTTCCACTTGGCCCTCCAGGGCCACACGGGACACTAGCCGCCCCACCCCCACACATGCTTGGGCTGCTTGGCGCCTTGGAGCAGATGGGCCGAGCTTCTCCTGAGAGAGAGAGCTTTTCACTGTCGGGCTCCCCACCTCGCTTCTTGTGCACACAGAGACAGACACATCACCTTCTCTCTCCACCATACTTCCCACTTCAGGGATTTGGGACATTTCTGTTTTCCCCGAGAGCTGTACTCTCTCCCCCAGGAGCCTTCACGTGTCTGCACCCTCCGGTTACCTGAGTTAGCTGCTCTCCCATGGGCATGGCCAGCAGTTGTCTGCACTCCTGCAAAGCTCTGCCCCCCTGGCTTGGTGACTGGAGGGTGACTGCACGTTTTGTATGCTCTGGGCTATAAGCCCCTGGAGGGGGGCAGGGGTTGGCTTTTTATCACCTGCTTAGTGCAGCACTTGACAAGGTATTCAGTAGCTGCCTACTAAGTACTTGGTAGATGCACGTGTAACAGACTTACAAGCTAAAAAAATTCTGACTAGTCTGTGACATGGAATGAATTGGCTAAACTCGTAAATCACACACCGGCCCTTACATCTCTGGTTGTAAGGCTAACTCCTGCCTTGGCCTTCAAGTTAACCTTCCGTGGGCTGCATCCAGGCATCGTCACAGGTGCCTCTGTATCCTGGGAGAGTCACGTCCTTTCTCAGCACAGTGACAGAACTGCTCTGAGGAGTGAAGGAAATAAGTGCCTGGCTCAGGAACATTTCCATGCCCTATGGTAGCTGCATTCTATTGAGAGTCACACTCAGACTAGTTGGGCAGGAGTGGATGAAGCCATGTGTGACCCTTTGCTTTAGAAGCAGACCCCATTCTTTGTTTGTTTGTTTTTTTAACATCTTTATTGGAGTATAATTGCTTTACAATGGTGTGTTAGTTTCTGCCCCATAACAAAGCGAATCAGCCATACACATACATATGTCCCCATATCTCTTCCCTCCTACGCCTCCCTCCCTCCCACCCTCCCTATCTCACCCCTCCAGGCGGTCACAAAGCACTGAGCTGATCTCCCTGTGCTATGCGGCTGCCTCCCACCAGCTATTGGTTTCACACTTGGTAGTGTATATATGTACATGCCACTCTCTCACTTTCAGACCCCATTCTTGCCCACACACTTGCATATGCCTGCTCTCCAGGGTGAGAACAGCCTCTCCCGCCACCAGACACACACACACACACTCCCTCTCCCTCTCTCTCCCTCTCTCTCTCTGTCTCTCTGTCTCTTCCCACCCTCTCTCCTGCCACCCCCAACAGAGTGTCCATCTCCTGAGCCTCTCGCTGAACTCTACCATGACTAGGCACCTGCCAAATACAGTTAACCTTCCCTGACTTTGTCTTTTTTCCTAAGTAATTTACTATAAGTATCTTCTTTTTTATAGCTAAACCCATTATTTAAAAATTTTGCCCCCTTCTTTATTTCTAAAACCTGATTTCTATTCTGGAATATATGCTTAGAAAAATATGGAATATCTGCATTCCTTTTATGAAATGTCTTTTTGGAATATATAAATTAAATAACTCAAAGTGCTAAATAACTAAAACTTATATTTCTTTATCTAGTCTATCTATATCTTTTGAAAATGTTGACACAGCTAAGAAGAAACTCCCTGTTCATATCTTAGATGGTCTGACCCTGAGCTATAAGGTATGTACTGATACTCTTAAGAACATTTTCTATTAAAATTAAGGCATACAAGGGACTTCCCTGGCGGTCCAGTGGTTAAGACTCCACACTTCCAATGTAGGGGGCGCGGGTTCGATCCCTGGTCGGGGAACTAAGATCCCACATACTGTGCAGCACAGCCAAAAAAAAAAAAAAATTTGAGACATATGAGTAATAGGTTACTTTCTATTCTAATTTTCTGTTTTTGTTTTCATAGGTCCCATGGCCTGTGGACATTGTTATAAGTTTGGAATGTCAGAAAATTTATAATCAGGTGTTTCTTCTCTTATTGCAAATAAAATGGGCAAAATACAGTCTGGATGTTTTACTATTTGGTGGTAAGATTTGTTTTCAACAGATAAATTATAATTTAATTTTAGCACTGAAAAAAAGGTTGGCAGTCTTAGGTCATTTTTTATATATACACAAGTGCCAAAATGATGTGTATTTATGGCCATAGCTTTACAGACATCAGAATTAACTTCCCTGAATGAGTACAGTTAACCTGAAATACAATAACTAAATTAGGAATTTAGCCAGAATAAAAATTCTTAGGTTATGTGAAAAAGTTTTAATGACAAGTTAATAGGACTTGGTTTTTATATTTTTGATGACAGTGATAATCAGGGTGATATGGCAGCTTTAACTGCTTCACCTTCCAGATAGGGAGGTTGGGGTCCCTGCTGTGCATCCAGCCGAGTGCCCTTTACAGGGCAGACGACCACACCATTGCAAGTCCTGCTCTGTGCAGTGGTGCCGGTGGGGTCTGAGTGGATGCTCTTCCCACCCCCTCTCCTCTTCGTTCCTTTACAGAACTAGCTAGTCCTGCTGAAAAACCACAACTTGAAGGACTCTTAGGTGGACAAGACACAGCTGCTAATTTTGGACCACAGAAGGAGCCAGTAAGACAGCAGATTCATCGTATGTTCCTCTTAAGAGTAAAACTCATGCACTTTGTGAACAGCTTACACAACTACATCATGACCAGGGTTCGTGTCTGTCCATCCACTCAGTTCTGTCACCGTGTATACATCTGTTCGTGGAGAATTACTTGTAATATATTTATAAATACAAACAAGCACACAAGATACTTAATAGACTGTAAATGTGAAGGTAGCACATACTAAAAACTTGATCATAAAATAACATGGCAGCAGGGGGAAGTGTTTTTTAAAACATGCCAGAGCACATGTTTCCAGACACTGTGTCTCTCCTGTCTAGTGACCCCTTGGGATGACACACCCAGAGCGCTTCTTTTGGACTTGCCATCAGAACTTGCCACATAGTCCTTTAAATGTCAGCAGTGGGAACAGGGCTGTCCCTGGAAAATGGCTTCAGTTTTTTGTAATGGAAGCCTAAAAACAAATCTGTCAGGCTACTATGGGGTGTAAGGAGGAAAATGCAGCCAGATTATATACTTTTTTTCTTAAATATAAGAAGTAACTCGTACAGTAAATAAAACTGCTTTTCTTACACATATTAAAACCAGTTCTAGAGGAACTTCTGAAGAGGAGTTCAGATGTTTGAACAGTAGCAGTGTTATTCGAGGACAGTACTCATTGGGATTATAATGGTTGCTAAAAAAGAATTTGTAGTCATTCTGGTAGATAGGTTCTAAGAACGCACTTTTGTTTGGTTGAAGTGAGCCTTTGAAGCCTGTGTTTTATACATGATACACATGGCAGAGGTGCTCTCTTTCCCGTGCACTAGTGGCCTTCAGAGGACCAACCTTAAGCCCTTAATTGTTGAGAGTAAATGGTTAAGTTTTTGTTTAATTTGTTTTTTGTGTTCTACTTGAAGTACAGTTATATTCCTTTTAAAGAAAGACCATTATGTAAGCAGTGGAATTTATTAAAACATATAAATTCAATTTATCTGGTGACGTTTTTTAAAAAAATCAATGCATATCCTATACAGTTCATATACTTGCCCCTCCACACAGGAGCAGTCTGTTAGTCCAGAGTGAGGCATTCCCTCCCTGTGCAAGTGAATGTAGAAGAGGTTGGTAAAAAAAAGTTTTGTGTGTGGCACATTAGTTCTCAAAGAAAAAATCTATTGATTAAATTTGTCATCTTTCAAGATTCTTCACAGTACAGGGCTGGAGTTTCAACATCAAGTCGAAGAAGCCAAGGATTTAGATCAATTGATTAAAATTCACTATAGATACTTGTCAACCATCCATGATCGATGTCTGCTGAGAGAAAAGGTATGTGAGGTGTCACCTGTGAACTTGGCCACTGAGGCAGGAATGAAGCCAGCCAAGGGAAGTTGTCTCTCTACTTTGGAATTTTATACTTATTAAGCTTCTGATCTGCAAAATATTTTTTTGACATCTTTATTGGGGTATAATTGCTTTACAATGGTGTGTTAGTTTCTGCTTTATAACAAAGTGAATCAGTTATACATATACATATGTTCCCATATCTCTTCCCTCTTGTGTCTCCCTCCCTCCCACCCTCCCTATCCCACCTCTCCAGGCGGTCACAAAGCACCGAGCAGATCTCCCTGTGCCATGTGGCTGCTTCCCACTAGCTATCTATTTTACGTTTGGTAGTGTATATATGTCCATGCCACTCTCTCGCTTTGTCACAGCTCACCCTTCCCCCTCCCCATATCTTCAAGTCTGTTCTCTAGTAGGTCTGTGTCTTTATTCCTGTCTTACCCCTAGGTTCTTCATGACATTGCAAAATATTCTTTAAGGAAGGACCAGATCAAATAGGTTACAAATTTGTGCCATATGACTGGAAATTACATATAAGAGAAACAGCTGACAACTTTATTGTGACAGTCTGCACTCAGCACTGTGTTTGGATTCAATACGAAAATTTTATCTGCAGTTATGGAATAATAGTGCTTTGGTCAGGAAATGTGTCCAGCTTGATGTGAATATATTAAGTCATCTTACAGCCATTGGAATAACTTGCCCCATTTCACTGGTGAATTCAAATGGCTGTCCCAGGAAAAGGTAGCTTGCTGGCTCTGTTGGTCAGACTCTGCTGCTGATATACCTGTACTGTGGGTGCAGTAGGTGTGTGGTCCAATTCCAAGTGCATTTTGTTCAGAGCCTAGTACCCTTCCTTATACCTAGAAGGCAATGATTGCACTGAGCTTTTTCTGTGACTCATTTAAATTAGGTGAAAGTGTTGGTGTCAGTGTCCAAACATGGTCACAGAGCCTATGTTCTTCCATGGCTTTCTCTCCAGGTCAGTTTTGTGAAGGAAGCCATCATGAAGGTGTTGAACTTGGCCCTCATGTTTGCAGATGGTTGGCAGGCTGGCCTGGGGGCATGGCAGTAAGTATGCAGCTTGTGGGGCCTCTGTGCTGTCACCATTTCAGTTTCACTTTTAGCTGGCTTCATTCTGGGAGCCTTGTTTTTCTTCTTGGCAACACATCACATACACTTATAATTATGGAAAGAATTGAAGAATTGAATTTGTTCATCTAAACTAGGCAACATCAAGAATTATGCAATTCTTTTCTGAGCGGTAAAACAAGAAAAATCTGAAGTCTTTTGATTAGAACAAGCAAATATCCTTAAATTACATTCCTGTTGTATAGGTTTGCTAAATTTTTGTTAATGGATGCCTTCGAGCATACACAGAAGCAGGCGGGGAACATAACAGACCCTGGGGTCCATCACTCCACTTCAGCAGATGCCAGTGACAATCAGTTCTGTTTTGTGTTTACTGCCCACTCCCACTCCCATTCACTCAATTATTTTCAACCAAATTCTGGACATCATGCTAGATCCTAGTCCAAAATTGTATTTTAGAGAGCTCTAAAAGAATGATTGTATATTTTACTTTTAGGGTGTTTATTATCTACACCTATCACATAGAAAGAGGACCCAGGAGCTCTTTCTTCCTATCCAGAGTACCATCCTCTACTGTTACCTTGAATGTGCAGCTCAATAGTTTGTCCCTGTCTTGTTTATAAAATTAATGTAATCTTGCTATTATTACTTCCTTGAAATATATTTAAAAGAGCAAGTCTGGTTGACTGGGCTGTTGGGATAATAGCTTGTACTTAGTTGTTATTAGTAAGGAGCTGAAAGTTCGTTATAGCACTAATCTAAAATCTTAACGTATGGCTGTGTCAGAATACTCTGAATGGTAGATAAAATTCCTCATTGCAGGGGTGAAAACAGAAGTCTTACTTTATTATTGCTGTCTCAAGTGTGTGCAGCAGACTTCCCCCTCCATGTCACTGTCAGGTGGAGGAGAAGGTAATAACACTGCTGCATA